TTATGAGAATACCTTACAGAGAGCACAGTAGACAAAAAGCCTATAATGCACATGCTATTTGTGTAAAATTACAGTGTAAGTACAGAGACCGGGCTCATTGGTGGCTTCCAGGGATGGAGAGGGGAAAAAAAGGTAAGCATCTCGCGATAGCAGACACTTGTTATTTTTGGTGATGGAAAAGTGAGTGCAGAAGTGCATACAGCATGACCAAGGTAAATGATGTCACTAAGAAGTACACAAGAGAAAAGAACATTTGGTAAAATGTATGACAAATACAATTTTGTGACAACTAAGAAATATGTGTGCAGTTACACAAATACATATATAGAAATATATGGGTGTGGGTCTGAATATGTGGGTACATATGTGTACATAGATATATGTATAGGCATTTGTACATACAGGTATGTGTGTGTGCATGCATGTATATTCATATATGTAATCACATAGGAAACACAGTTACAAATATTTAGATATAACCAAATACCTTGCAAAATTCGTTTTGTGGACTTGAAGCCTTAGAACTGTATCTTGTGGGAAAACTCAGTTCATTGGAATAATGCAGTTCATAAAGTATACATTCTACATTCCATTGTGGTTCTAGACTCCAAGTTTAAGAGTGGCCATCTAAGGTACATATGTTAGTCTCTACTCATCCTGGCGTGGCGCAGTGGGCTAATGCGTCAGACTACAAAGTTGCTTGAACTGCAAGATCAGTGGTTCAAGCTCACCAGCTGCTCCTTAGAAACCCTATACAGGGTCGCTATGGGTTGGAATTAACTTGACGGCACTTAACAACAACAGCAACTCATCCACAACAAAAGAGAGAGAAGAAAATCAAAGACTAAGAAGGAAATAGTCTGCAGAACAATAGTTTGCATAGATCATGGCTTCATCTATCATTGAGACCAGAATTAGATGGTGCCTGACTAACCATTCTGATCAGGACACAATAGGATCCAGCAAGGAAAATGGAGTGAAGAACAATCAAAGTGGTAAGACAAAATTAAGGTAAAAGAAGACATTAAAATGTCAAATGAGTAAGAGGAAGACAAAAAAATAGCCATTGTTCAAATATGGCAAGGCAGAAGTCATTGTGACCTCAGAGTAACTTCAGCTATGTGGTAGGGATGAAAGCTCAACTTGAGTTCTCAAGAGAATTAGAAGAAAGACAAAAGTGAACATGACTTACAACTATAGAAATCCTTCTATAAAGAATAGCAGAGAAATAGGAGCAGCGCCTGGAGGATTGTGTGAGGTTGAGAGAGGGTTTGTTTAAGAAAAAGTTATCCTAATGGGACTGACAAAGGAGCAAGAAGCAATGTAATAATGGGGAGAGGGGCTAATTTTAGGTTCAGAAAGCCTGAAGAAATTATATCATCTATTATTAACTGGAGAAAAGATAGATCATATATGAGCACAGATATGGGAATTTTGGTAGATTCAGTGAGGAAAAAATATGAGTCAGCATAGTTGTTTGTTTTTCTCTTGTCATCTGTTTTTCAAGTGAGGTAAGAGTTATATTTAACTAGACATGGATTACAGAGAAAGAAGCACGTGAGTTAAGGATACTTGCAAGGAAGTAATTCCATCAGTGGTCCACAGCAAGAAGATGAATGAAGAACCAAAGGACGTAAGACAGTGATAGAGATATGTAATGAAAAGATAGTCGGATCTTTTGTAATATATGCAATGAAAAGGTAGTAGGATTGGCGGTCCCTTGAGGTTAAAGAAGTGAAAAAGGGATGAGCTGGAAAGATAGATTAGAAATTAGAATACTTGAAAAAGGGACTTGGAAATGGTACAACTGACTTTATCAAGGACTAGAGTCCTAGTGTGGTACCGTAGGATAAGCACTGAACTACCAACTACAAGGTCAGTGGGTCACACCTACCAGTTGTTCCTCAGAACTCTACATAGGCTCGCTATGAGTCGGAACTGACTTGATGGCACTCAACAAGGGTAGTGGTGGTGGTTATGTGCCATGGAGTCAGTTCCGACTCATAGTGACCCTGTATAGGATTTCCAAGGCTGTAAATCTTTACTGGAGCAGAAAACCTCATCATTCTCCTATAGAATTGCTGATAGTTTCAACCTGCTGACCTTGAGATTAGCAGTCTAACTCATAATCACTAGGCTACCAGAGCTCCTGTAGTGAATGCCTAAAATGAAATGGAGGACAAGATCATTTTAAGTGAGGAGGTCAAAGAACTGAGAAAGCCAGCTGTGGATCATTGAAGATTCTAAACTCTCCATGCATGATGACAGAGATGGACGCAGAAACAAAAGCAGTAATCCAGTGAAGTAAGGTGGAAAGAAAGCCTAATGGGGATGGGGGTGGGTTGGGAGAACAAGAAGTGAGATGGAGTCAGTAAGCATAGATAAATCTTTTGGTAAGTCCTCTAGTGAAGGAGAATCAGAAAATGGTGATGACTGACAGGAGGAGAAGTATGACATTTATGGGGTCAAGGGTTAGTACCAGATGGAAGATTCTAGAGCTCATGACAGTGATTCATTAAAAAGGGGAAAACTGGTGCTCTAAGAACAAAGTTCTTCAGGAGATGAGTGAGATCCAAAGAACAAATAAAGGATTTTACTTTTCATAGAAAGAGGCATAATTCTCCCCTGAAATATGAGAAAAGGCAGAATCCATGGGTATAGATATGGGTAAGGCAACAGATTATTGTTAAGTGCCATCTAGTAGGTCCTGATGCATATAGAGTTTCCAATGAGTAGCTAGATGGTTTGAACTGCCAACCTTGCAGTTAGGAGTCCAATGTTTATCCTGTAGTGCCATACCAGGACTACAAGGGAATAGACTGATACAAAAATAAGAGTGTTCATGACTGATTGTTGTTTCAATTATATAAAGTTTTCAGCTGGATGGGGTGGAAGGTGTGGAGACTAGAGGAGAGTAGAAAAGGCGTTTAGTCATCATCTCGGAGATTGAGAAAACTAATTTATTAGGGGAATAAAGTGGGCTTTCTAGACAGTTTTGAGTGATTAACTGAAATTTATGGTCATGAAATTGAAATAAAACCAGTTAATATGACTGTGTGGTTTTGTACAGCAATAGTCAGCTGCTCAGGTACAGGCAGAGAGTAGATAGATGGTTGAGTTTACCCAAGGTTGAAGTTCAGCCAGAAGAAATATAGTGACAGCCCAAGAGCCAATGGAATGATGTAGGATGTTATAAATGAGCAACTGAAATGAGAGCCCATAGAACCAAGGCAGAATAAGGGGGAAATCATAGGAAACATGAGATAAAAAGTGACCATTCAACGGGTCCCCTCAGGACAAACCCCTTTCTAAGACTAAGATTCAATGAGAATACATGCTCTGATTGGTGATCATGTTTGTCACCGATAAGGGGAAGTGAGGGAAAAACAGCAATGAAGCTGCGAGCTAAGCCCTACAACGTTCAATAGACTTATGTGAACCCGAGTGGAGAACTGGTAGGTCAGCAGTGTGGCAAGACCTGGGAACTCTTGGGCCCAGAGCCACAGAGGACTAGAGTCGAGAGTGAAGCGTCCAGCTGATAAGAAGAGAGGGAATATGCATAAGAACACTCACACTTGTAGATAATTCCCACTTGACCTGGCTTCAATGACTAGATGAACAGAGCTCAACTAGAAGAAGAAAGAAGAGAAAGAGTAATCTGATGCAATTTGATGAATTTGACCTACACCTATGGATGCAGTAGCTCAAAAGAGTGAACAAATCTCTACAGTGAGGATCATTCCCATCCCCTCCGTACACAGAATAGACAGGGATGGGCAACTTGGACATTGGCTACCCAAAATGGGAGGCTACAAAGGCAAGAAGTGACTGGCTTACAAGTTTTCAAAAGGGAACCTAGATCCAGAGGGCATGGAGGAAGGTAGAATCTCCACTGAGTAGTATCTAATATGTCTAGGCGGGGCTGATGAAAGGAGATGCGGATAGGTCTCTTGTGATACAGTAGTAAATAATTATTATCAGGACTGATTGTGAGGGTTGGAAATGTAAAGGTAGACGTTTTGTAGCAAAAGGAGGGGAGTGATTAACTTTGCAGTCTAAGAGCGGAGGTCCATGGGAGAAGAGTGGTGAGCAGGACCCTACCCAGAGAAGCAGTGACGCCTGAGATGGAGGCAGAGATGATGACATGGAGAGATGGAGTGGCTGGGGACTTTAGACCCAGAGAGGGAGAGGGGCTGGGCAGGCTTGCAGGGTATACCCTTTGGTTGGTTGATGATGCATGAAGGAGATTGTAACCATAGCAATGAAATGATAGATGATAGGATGAATGTAAAGCTAATGTTCTCCCATGTAAACTAACACATAATTCACAATAAAACATTAAAAAAAAAAAAAAAGTGACCATTGGTAGTGGTGATTATGTGCCGTGGAGTCGGAATCAACTCATAGAGACCCTGTACAGGGTTTCCAAGGCTGTAAATCTTTATGGGAGCAGAAAGCCTCATCTTTCTCCCGTGGAACAGCTAGCAGTTTCGAACTGCTGACCTTAAGGTTCGCAGCCCGATTCGTAGTCTCTGTGCTACCAGAGCTCCTTTCTACAACTTTAGCAGTGTGGTAATATAATGAATTGTTGACTATGTGCCCTCCATGTCCTGGAGGAGAAAAATTATGACATAACACAAAAGCCTAAGTGGTATGAAGGAGGTAGTGTTCAAAGTGGCCACACAAAGGGATGCAATGACCAACGGCAGAGAAGAATTAAGTACAACTTCAAAAAGTGGTGACAAGGGGTCATCAAGAACTGCTGGGGGTGGGGGGGGGAGATCATCAGCCGGAGAGTGGACACAGGAAGATTGTTTTCTCTCAGGACCAGAATCTCAAATTCCTATCACAGTCTCTTAGGTCCAAAGGGAGGTGACAGCAAAGTAGCAGGTAAATGATTCAGGAATTCTTTCTTTAAAACAAAAAGAACCTTTCGCCAATAGGCTCCCCAGTTCTAGATGGGGTGATGCTCAGTGCCTGGGAGGGGCCCCAACACCTACCACACGTGTAAGATGGCAAAGCCGGTGACTGAGACGTGACCACCAGGGAGGGGGAGACAGTCACTGCGAGGGGAAGCAACTCGGCTTCACCTAGCTCTTGGGCCTCCTGAGGCTCCGGGGGCTTGAGGACCTGGTCGGACTCACTGGGCTCCTCCAATGCTTCAGATTCGTCACCTTCGCCTTGTTCTTCCTCAGATTCCTCATATTCCCGGGACTCCTCAAACGCCCCGGGCGTCTCAGGCTCCCAGGGCCCCTCGGACTTCTCGGCCCATTTGGCATCCTTCGACTCGCTGACCACGTCTAGGAACCTGAGTACAGGGGGCTCCTGGAGGACCTCGGACCCCGCAGGTATTTCTGTGGTATCATTCCCATTGGTCACATCGCCCAGCGTGAAGGAAACTGACAAATCTGGGTCTTCCATTCGAGTCCCGTTGCTCACCCTTGCAGTGGGCAACCTGGGCGCAGATCACTTTTCCACGTGGTGGTCTGGGGTGCCTGATGCCTCCAGGGCTTCCGGTCAGGCCTAGCCACGCCCCTGGCTCTCTCCAGCCCCGCCCCCACTCTACTACGGCCCCACCCCTCACACACCCTGAGCTTAGTCAGGTTGCCAAGGGGACGGTTGCCAAGGTTGCCCTCTGAGCGCCCCTAGGGGCAGAGAGGATGCAGAGGCAACTCCACGGAGATAAGGGGCAAGAACCTGGCCTGCAGCTTCCTGTGCCAACAGCCAGGACTCTCGAATGCTGTTTGCTGCCGAGGTCGTGGGCACACCATATCAGCTTCCAGTCTAGTTTCAATGTCTCTCAAGTAGAGCCCGGTTAGACTCAGCGAAAGGTTTTCTGGCATCTGTTCTACGTCGACCTTATCCCCTAATCATGCTGGGTAAGGACACCAAAATTGACAATTATCTTAAGACCTTCAACAACTAAAAGTGATTCTCATCAATTTCTAATAATCACACAGTAATTGGGGAGGATATAACATCAGGATGACATTTGGTCCAAATTTAAGGAAGAAACTCAAATTTCAATTTTTGATAGCCTCCAAATGAGGTTTGACAAAAATGACAAAGAAACTCTGACAAGATTGAAAGAAATGCATTCATCTACAATTTTAATCTTCTACCCCATTAGAGACAAGGGACAATGTCTATTTAAAATATGTTATAATTCTTTTTATCCTGTAATTAATTATCCTGTGAACAATAATGTATTTGCATATGTGTGTTCAAACTGCACACACAGTTAACTTTTGTCTTTTAAATACAAAATACCATTTTTGTAATCATTATCTTTTACCAAGACATTAAAAACGTTTAAGTGGCCTGGTGCTTTCAGTTCATGTTCATAACCATGATGGTGTGGTTTAAACTAGAGATGGTGGAGTTTCAGTGATGTATTTGTTTTCAAAGATGAAAACAAACAGATGAAAAGAATTAAGGAAAACGTCATATGTCAAATGATATGGAAAACCCATATTTTGCACATTACTGAATACTCCTTGAACATACTTTGTTTCACAGATGCAAAGGTAAATTAAAAAAAATTTTTTTTGAAAAGTGGACGTGACCAGGAAATTAGTTAGGCAATCTATGTCTATGAGTCAGGAAATCTCCTTCAGACACAATTCGATATAGACATGTGCAATACGATATCAAGATTTAAAAAATATTCCCCCAAAAAAACCTGGAGAAATAAAGCTACTCTCAGCAATAGGATAAACACTGGACTGCTAACAAGTTGGTGGTTCCAATCTACCAGCTGTTCTTCGGAAACCTGATACAGGGTTTTTGAGTTGGAACAGACTTGGTGTCGCGTACAACAGCAATAACGTTATCCTCATTAAGGTGACTTTATTTACTCAACTCTCTGATTATTTACTGAGTTTAAAGTCTCTGAGGATAGCTTAGGGATCTCTGGATGGTACAAACTGACAGGTTGGTGGTTCAAGCCCAGAGTGCCTCAAAAGGAAGGCCTAGAGATTTGCTTTTGAAAGGTCACAACCACGAACACCTTATGGAGTTTAGTTCTGCTTTGAAACGCATAGGGTTGCCATGACTTAAAATTGATCCAACAGCAACTGATGATGTAAAATGTAATGTTGTTGTTATTAGGTATCATTGAGTTGGTACCGACACATAGCAACCCTATGCACAACAGAATGAAACACTGTCCGGCCCTGGTCCAACATCACAATTGTTGCCATGCTTGAGTCCAATGATGCTGCCACTTGGCCAATCCATCTTGCTGGGTGGGGGTCTTCCTCTTTTCCTCTGGCCATCCAACCTACCAAACATGATATCCTTCTCCAGCAATTGGCCACTCCTGACAATATATCCGAAGTAGGAGAAACAAAGTTTGGTCATCCTGGTCTCCAAGGAGCACTCTGGCTGCACTTCTTTCAACACAGATCTGTTGGTTCTTTTGGCAGCCCATGGCGCTTTCAATATTTTCCTCTAACACCAGAACTCAAAAGCATCAATTCTTCTTATTCACTGTCCAACTTTCACATGCATATGAGATTATAGAAAACACCATGGCTTGGGTCGGGTGCACCTTAGTCCTCAAGCTGATATCTTTGCTCTTCAATACTTTCAAATGTTCCTGTGCAGCAGATTTACATAATGCAATACGTCGTCTAATCTCTTGACTGCTGCTTCCATGAGTGTTGATAGTTGAT